GGACAATCCGAGCGGACTATTCAAACACTGGAAGATATGTTGCGATCTTTGGTTGTTGACAGGGGTGCTAAGTGGGAGTCGTTATTGCCATTATGCGAATTTGCTTATAATAACAGTTATCATTCTTCCATTCAAATGGCTCCTTACGAAGCACTATACGGTCGTAAATGTCGTTCCCCTCTTTATTGGGACGACGTCGGTGAACGCCGAATACTTGGTCCGAACAGGATCGCGGAAACGGCGGCAGATGTGGAGTTGATCATACAAAGACTTCAGGCAGCTCAGAGTCGGCAGAAATCATCAGCCGATCAACACAGACGTGATATTCAGTTTGAAGTTGGGGAGCGAGTTTTTCTTAAAGTTCGTCCATTCCGAGGGATCATTCGATTCGGAAAGAGAGGAAAGTTGCATCCTCGTTATATTGGCCCGTTCGAAGTTCTCGAACGAGTGGGCGAAGTTGCTTACCGTTTAGCTTTACCTCCTGAATTATCCAATGTTCATAATGTCTTTCATGTGTCCATGTAACGTAAATACGTGTGCGATCCAGATCATATTCTTCAGCATACCGATATTCAGATTCAGCCAGACTTATCTTACGAGGAGAAACCGGTAGCCGTTTTGGACCGAGAGATTCGTCGACTCTGGAATCGCGAGATTCCGGAGTTATACTGTTATATCATGACAGCCGGTAGATTCACGGGTCTGGGACTGGTTTATACTGTTGACCAGGAAATTCACGGTTATGTTATATGCTTTTGATCATGATGTTACTATTATTATTGCTGTTTACTTTAGTATGAGTTCCTACGAGTACAATGGTATCAGAGCCAGTACCCGCGGGCCATGTGCCAGCGAGGACGCTGGGCCCCTCTGAGGGGGGGTGGATGTAATATCCCACATCGGTTGTGAAGGAGAACGAAGCATGCCATATAAGTGGCTGTGGACACCTTCACTAGTGTGACGCGTTTTGGTGAGCTTGCTCCCAAAGGCAAAACCGTGCGGGGAAGGATGAAAGTACCCAGAGCGGACAATATCGCACTACGGGTCAACTTTACTGGGCTGTTACACCCAACGTCATGATGATCGTGGGCCCGACTGACCAAACCGCCCATATAAAGCTACTTTTCGCGCAATTCCTGAATAATTGGAGATCTTGAACAATGTGTACAAAAAAAGTTACTATATATAGCTGGAAATTCCCTCAGTGAGGAGGGGGGGGGGGGGGGAGCACTTTGTATCACTTTCATCTCGGTTCAGAACACACCGGCCATTCGCTAATTAATAAAATCTCACCCTATCGTCATTTATCGCTAAAATCTATGACATATACCCGTTAATTATGTTGTTACAAATCCATACGACAACAGATTCTTAACCCATGTAATTTTTGTGGTTTAATATTGATATTTTCACACCAATTTTGGCGAAGGTTAAGCAAAAATATATTATAATACTAAACAAAAAATCATATTTACACGGCATATAAGATAAGAATCCTATTTATTTTGAAGTTGGAGGAGATCAGAAGGTATTTAAAGGTGTGTTGGACGGCATATAAGATAAGAATAAGAATTTTATTCATTTTGGAGTTAGGGGGGGATTGGATTAAACAAATATAATTGTATTAATTTTTATCCGAACCAAAAGCCGAAGCATATAATGTTGCCAAGTAAGCTTCTGAAGCGTGGGAACCAGTCATTTAGGCTCAGCACGTTTTGAAATTAATCTATATATATTGAAAAAGAGAGGTCAATAAATCATTTGTGGAAACTTTTAAAAAATAATGAGTCAACCATGTTGACTTACTATTATAAGTAATATTCTAAAACACACATGTTAAATGATTTTCAAAAATTTTGGTAATCTGTTAGGATGTGATAGTGATAATGTTTTATTCCTTTTTTTTTTTGGAAATATTAACAACTTTAACAACCTACACGAATTTTTTTAACAACTTTAACTATTATTATGCTAATTAACCAGATCCAATTTATTAACTCCTAATTAAGTAAGAAGATAATTAAATATTAAAGAAAATAAGATTAAAAAGGAAAGGAAAAAAAAGAGATAATTATGTTGAACCGAATAGAATCGGTCATCTCTTCCCAAATCTCCTCCACAAATTTGTCTCCTCTTCCCTGAATTTCAGCAGGTCCATCGGGATTTTTTTGCAACCAATCCTTCTCCTTTAAATCCTTAGTCAGCCCTAAGATATCTCCATCCGTATCTCACCCTCAATTTCACTCGTGAAAATCCTCGATTTTTTCTGCAACTTTCTCCTTCGGCGAGACAAACATGGCAAACGCGTCGTCCGACCACAAGCAGCGAGCCTCGAATTCCAACGGCCAGAGCAACCCTAGGTCGCGAGCCCCAAATCCTCTCTCTGTTCCAGCGCCGCGTCGCCCGTGAAACTCATCGGCATTTTGAGACATCCCCGACAAGTTCGAGCTCACATCTGACTTCCGGCGACCTTCCTCTGTATCCGACCTCGAGCCGCGACCCGCGACCTTCGCAGCACCACAGAGTTGACCGACCTCGAAATGCGTTAGACTGCGTACATAGAGGAGAGCCTTTTTCAGCAATCAACCAAGCCAAGACAAGGGCACTGCGGTGACTGAGCAACCTTTTTCTTCTGGTGTTTGTGTTCCTTTTTTTTCTTTTTTTCTGACACAAGGTATATTGGCTAACCCGACTCTTGAGTTTGATTGGTGTTGGAATTTGATTGGGATATTTTGATCGTAACAGTCGAGCCTCTTATTTTTTCAAGTATCGAACCTCTGCTATTAGCATATTTTCAAAAGGCATTTTTGAAGCTTTAACCTTTTGGGCCAAACAATGTCATTGGAGCAAACCAATCGTCCAGCTTGCACAGTCGTGTCGAAGCATCGCAGCCTATGGGTGCCGTTGCTAGTTATATTAAGGGGATATGTATAATATGTATAAAATCCCCAAATCTTTGACCATCTTTTAGGGTCCATTTTACTTACATTCCAGCTATAGTTACAGTGATATTATACCATAGGATTCAACAGTTGAAAACCTCAAAATCTAGGAAGGAAAAAAAAGGGCCTATTACAAGATGACAATTTATACATTTGTTTATTGTTTAGGTAGGATGAATATTAGAATATTAGTTACATGGAGCCATGTGTCCAAGATTGTCGCCTGATTTTGTTGTTCAATTTTGCAGCATATATATTATGAATGGTATGGTATGGTGATTGTACAAATATAAATTTCATTTTATGCTATTAGCTGAAAGAATGATTTGTGGGTAAGAAAAAGATATTTCGTTTTAAAAATTATTCCTTTTGTAATTTTTCCACTTCCTTTTGCTTGTCCTCGAATTTTTTGAGTTTTTCTTCATGGAATAAAATTCTTCAACCTATTCGTGATTGTAAATTTTTATTTTATTAAGGGTTAATTGCAAGAAAAACCACAACCTTTTGTTTAATTGCACATAAGACTCAATCTTTTTAATTTTGTACCAAAAACTAAACCTTTTTTAAGCATTGCAATATTGTCTCAAAGTTGACTTCCGGCCAAGATCCGCTGACATGGCTGATTGGAAAATTGACGTGGCACTCAAATTCAATAGTTTGTGTGATGTAGGGAAAACGTACGAGTGGGAAAGATACACGAGTAAACGAGATACTCTCTCGTAAAACACGCAAGACTCATAATCTCTAATCTTATTTCATATTCAAAATCAACTAATAAAAATAAACTAGAGGTTCCTAACCCTAGACCTAATTGTCCAACAAGACAAGAGCTCTTATTAAATATTAAACAATTCATAACTTATTCACTAAGATATCTAATAATAATAATAATAATAATAATCATAGATATGTCTACACCATTCTCCCCCGGTTGAGCAGGATTCGCCCTCGAATCCGATTTGTTCCCGTTGGAGACGTCCTCAAGACAGCAACAGCCCGAACGTTTCCCCCGATCGAACACGAAGGTTGAAAGTCGTCCAACAATCTCGAAGGTAAACATAATCTCGGTCAAGGATTCAACTGCCGCAAAGTCACATGTACACGACACCCGACGCAAAGCCCACACAACCGAATGAACACAAAACAGACCACATCGTTCACCGCGCATAAATCTATAATTACGGCCAAGCATCCCGGTGTTGGGAGACTGCGGGAACAACAATCGAAAAATGGCCCACCAGTTATGGAGTCTTGGCTTCGGCTCCGAAAAACCATCTTTGGCTAAAATACTCAAAAAATCGGGTGTGAATGACGGCTGCCCATTCAAAGACTCAATAGTTGCGACGTCCCACGCGGGACCCATATTACTGCAAAAATATGTCTTCGTCACCGAAGGCTCTTCATCAAAAATTGGCGGACCGTCGTAGATATCGCACGTGTCGGGCTCAAAATTCAGGTAATCTATAAACTCGAAACCAAAGCCTGTTTGTGGCTGTTCAGGCCCAAAATGAGGATTAAATTCATCTTTCCCCTCAGCCCAATAAATTGAATTGGACGCAGGCCCAAAAACGACATCACCCTCACAAGCCCCAAAAATGCTTGTGTGAGGCCCAGAAGTGCAACTGGAGTCGTCTCTTTCACACGCCCAAAATCCGCCTCCATGTACGAAACTACCTCCAACCCGCCGTTGCTCGCGAACTCGGGGTTGACCTGTGGTTTCGTCTCCTCGCCATGGTGGTCGATCTGCCAACGGGTTAGCCGACCAGGTAAAGTCACCATCCTTGATGCCGTTCAGAGGTGGCGGGGATCGCTGCCGGGGCGCCCCGACATGGCTGCGTCCCTCACAACTGCCTCTGTCTCCCCCGCGAAAGCCACGGCCCACAACCCCATCGCGGTTCGTCTGCAATTCCGAAACAATCACGTTGTTAAGCGTCAAATGCACATCCTCGATCCCCGTCGAAAGATCAGCAAACCAATCCGTGAAACGCACGTCCAATTGTTCAAATCGGTAGTCGATTTGTTGAAACCGATCGTTGAAAGTTGCGTCACGTCGTTCGTCTGCGGCATCTTCTCGTCCCGGCGACATCGCGAATCGTACTGACTGCTGATACCAACTGATGTAGAGCATATGTATGAACGGGATAGAACACGATCAATTCTCAAGAGAAATCTCAATTTCATAAAAATCCAGTCTGCCTTCTCCAAAGAGAAGACGATTATTCATATACAGATTATTGCCCTACTGCAAAAGCCCATTAACAAAAGGCCCAACTACTGAAAATAATATTAATAGCCCAACATTAAATAAAAGACTGAAACGACACTTAAAAACGCTAGACACGAAGACGGTCATATTTATTTAAAAATGCTATCGCGGTCTCGTCCGGTTGGCATGGATCCAGCGAAGTAATGCTATTACCGTTGACCGCCGGGTCTTACTGTCCTTGTCCATTGGGGCGAATTATAGGGATAAAGTATGGTGCGACGTGGTTCCTATGGATGCGTGTCACGTGTTATTGGGCAGGCCGTGGCAGTATGATCTGGCAGCAACTCACGACGGTAGGCTTAATACATACAGTTTCACATTTGGAGGTACCAGGATTGTCTTACATCCTGCTCCTTCGCGTCCCATGCCGGTTACTAGTTCTTCGAATGTTCTTTTTCTGTCGAGGGCAGCTTTTGTAGAGGAAATGCAGTCGGCCCAAGTGGTACTTTTACTTGTGGGTTCTGACAGGTCCGTTGAACACGAGCCACCAGCCATCATTCAGCCACTGTTGTCCGAGTTTGCAGACGTTTTTCCTGCCGATCTTCCTACCGGCCTGCCTCCATTACGGGATATTCAGCATCATATAGACTTAGTCCCGGGGGCCTCACTTCCCAACAGACCGCATTATCGGATGAGCCCGGTGGAACACGAAGAGCTTCGCCGGCAGGTTGAAGAGTTGTTACAACGTGGGGTTGTTCGAAGGAGCCTTAGCCCGTGTGCCGTTCCGGCCTTATTGATTCCGAAGAAGGATGGGGCGTGGCGCATGTGCGTTGATAGTCGAGCCATCAACAAGATCACTGTCAGGTATCGTTTTCCTATTCCTCGTTTGGATGATTTGCTGGATCAGCTGCATGGTGCCACTGTGTTTACCAAATTGGACCTTCGTAGCGGCTACCATCAAATTCGGATTCGGCCCGGGGATGAATGGAAGACAGCCTTCAAAATCCGTGAGGGGCTCTTTGAGTGGATTGTCATGCCATTTGGTCTTTCCAACGCGCCGAGCACGTTTATGCGTATCATGAACCAGACGTTGAGGGATCTTATCGGGCGGTGTGTCGTCGTTTATTTCGACGATATACTCATCTATAGTCGCTCCGTGGAGGAACATTTGGAGCACGTGCGAGCAGTCCTACTTATCTTGAGAACCGAGTCTTTCTTTGCTGCGCCGCATAAGTGTTTCTTCATGGTGAACTCCGTCCTCTTTTTGGGCTTTCTTATTTCGGCGGAAGGTATTCGGGTTGATGAGAGTAAGGTAGCGGCCGTGAGGGATTGGCCGACACTGACTACGTTCACCGAGGCTCGCAGTTTTCACGGGCTAGCCTCGTTCTATAGACGGTTCATTTCCCACTTCAGTTCTGTCATGGCCCCAATCACTGACTGCCTCACAGGGAAGGCTTTTACTTGGACACAGGAAGCCGCCGAGGCCTTTGCTCTTATTAAGACCAAACTGACATCTGCTCCGGTGCTTGTCTTACCCGATTTTTCTCGCCCGTTCGAGCTATCCTGTGATGCCTCGAAAGTAGGGATAGGGGCGGTCCTTAGCCAGGATGGGCGGCCGGTCTCCTTTTTCAGCGAGAAGCTTTCGGGCCCGAGGTTGAGGTACAGTACTTATGATGTTGAATTTTATGCTGTGGTGCGTGCGGTTCGCCATTGGCGTCATTATCTCTTTCACAGAGAGTTCGTGCTATACACGGACCATGAGGCGCTTCGCCATTTAGCTTCGCAGGATAACATCTCGACCAGACATGCTTCCTGGACTGCTTTTCTGCAGCAGTTCACTTTCGTCTTACGCCATCGGTCGGGTGCTTCCAATCGAGTTGCCGATGCGTTGAGTCGGCGTGCACTTTTGCTGTCCGAGATGCGTGTCTCGGTTGTGGGTTTTGATCTTTTGCGGGACGTGTACGTTGGGGATCCTTTCTTTGGCCCGGTTTTGGCCCATTTACGGGCCGGGCCTTACAAGGACTATACCTTGTCGGATGGCTTCATTTTCCGTGGTGTTCGTCTTTGTATCCCAGATTGCAGTCTTCGACATAAGCTTATTGCCGACTTGCATGGGACAGGTCACGTGGGTCGTGATAGGTCCGTGGAGCTGGTTAGCCGAAGTTATTTTTGGCCGTCCCTTCGGCGTGATGTGGGCCGTTTCGTTGCCCGTTGTCGGATTTGCCAGGTGTCCAAGGGCGCAGCGACTAACGCGGGCTTGTACCGGCCACTCCCGATTCCATCCCAGCCTTGGCAGTCGATCAGCATGGACTTTGTATTGGGGTTGCCTCGTACCCAACGGGGCTTTGACTCTATTTTTGTGGTGGTCGATCGTTTTTCGAAGATGGTGCACTTCATTCCATGCAAGCGCACCACCGATGCTGTTCATGTGGCCCAGTTGTTTTTCAGGGAGATTTATCGTCTCCATGGATTGCCTTCGGCCATTGTGTCAGACCGCGATACTCGATTTTTGAGTTATTTTTGGAGGAGCTTGTGGCGTATGGTGGACACCCGTCTCGATTTCAGCAGTGCTTATCACCCTCAGACAGACGGCCAAACGGAGGTGGTTAATCGCTCTTTGGGGAATTTGCTACGTTGCTTGGTGGGGGATAATGCTCGTACTTGGGACCAACGTTTGTGTCAGGCTGAGTTCGCTCATAACTCGGCAGTTGGTCGGGCCACGGGCCTCTCGCCTTTCCAGATTGTGTATGCTGTGCAGCCGCGTGGGCCGTGTGCCTTGGCGCCGTTGCCACCTTCCGGCGGGGCTGACCGGCGGGCGGCGGACCTTGTGGCGGACTTGCGGGAGACTCACGCCGTGACCCGGGCTCGCCTGGAGTCGACTACTGCGGCATACAAGAGGGCCGCCGATGCTCATCGCCGGCACGTCGAGTTTGAGGTAGGTAATTTTGTCTGGGCTGTTTTAACTAAGGATAGGTTTCCCGCTCACGAGTTTAATAAACTGTCCGCCCGGAAAATTGGCCCGTTGGAAATTGTTCAGAAAATCAATCCCAATGCCTACCGTCTTCGCCTTCCGTCTCACATTCGCACTTCTGACGTGTTTAACGTCAAGCATTTGGTGCCATTTGCGGGGGATAATTCGGACGGAGACGAGACCGGTTCGGATTCGCGGCCGAATCCTTCCCAACCGAGGGAGGATGATGGAGACGAGACCGCGATAGCATTTTTAAATAAATATGACCGTCTTCGTGTCTAGCGTTTTTAAGTGTCGTTTCAGTCTTTTATTTAATGTTGGGCTATTAATATTATTTTCAGTAGTTGGGCCTTTTGTTAATGGGCTTTTGCAGTAGGGCAATAATCTGTATATGAATAATCGTCTTCTCTTTGGAGAAGGCAGACTGGATTTTTATGAAATTGAGATTTCTCTTGAGAATTGATCGTGTTCTATCCCGTTCATACATACGCTCTACATCATTGTGCCACATCATCAGACACATGTATTTCCACATCACACACCCTCCACGTCACAAACCCCCAATATATCCACTTGTTCTTCCTTTCTTCCCCATTTACGGCGGGTATAGAGTTCTTTTCTGGTCTTGGGACAACGAGAAAAAAGAAAAAAGATTCTCAGAAAAAAGAAAAATTAGGGCAGCGTTCTTCCCCATTTATCTCGCCCTTGTACGAAATCGGAATCATGATGTTTCCGATGAGCGGCAGATCGATGATGAGCCCTAGCTACAGGAGGTAATCGATGTCCCAATCACCGCCGATGTCGCGGACGAGGCTAACAACGACGATGTGCGACGCCTGGACGGTGACGTCGAGCATCGTCTTCTCGTCGGCTTTGAGGGATACGAGATCAGGGATCGTGCCGGACGCGAGCTCCCGGTCGGCGCTCTTGACAACATAGGCGATCTCGCCGATCGGGATCGGGACGGAGTAGGGATTGGAGACGGAGATCTCGGCGAGGAGAGTGATGCCGTCGAGGCCGAAGCCCTTCAGATCGACGTCGACTATCGTTGCCTCCGGCATCGGCATGTTGGCAACCTTCTCCGCCACGTAGTTCTTGGCCTGCTCGATGAGATTCATTTTTTGCTTTCTTATTATAATTATATGGGGTTTTGGTTCTGCAATTGCAAATGAGAAATGAGTATATAATCTTCCCAGATCTGTGTGGTGTGAAATCCGCGTTTTCAGATCTGTGCCACTTCCCGTCAAACCTCCCCAGGAGAAGATAATAGCATATAAATCTCAAACAATATAATTACAGATTTCCATAAATGGAGGGTGTGTGATGACGTGTCACAAACTATTGAATTTGAGTGACACGTCAATTTTCCGATCGGCCATGTCAGCAGACCTTGGCCAGAAGTCAACTTTGAGACAATATTGCAATGCTTAAAAAAGTTTGGATTTTGGTGCAAAATTGAAAAGGTTGAGTTTTATGTGCAATTAAACAAAAGGATGTGGTTTTTCTTGCAATTAACCCTTTTATTAATGTTGTTGATTAAATTTGAATTTTTAGATCTAAAGAAAATGGAATTGAAATCGAGTATGAATTTATTGGTTATTAGCATACTACTATTGCTATTTGCTAGTTTGCTCTACAATTTCAATTGGTCAAATCTTCTGCACTATATTGTACAACATCTACTAATTTTATAACACCATTTTTTTCCCCCTCTTAGTTATATATTGGCCATGTGAAAAGCACAATGCACAAGGACATAAAATAGCAACTTGGTTAGGAACTTAGAGCATCTTCAATGCTCAAATGTAGTTGTAGTAAATTACACTTTACATTAACAAATTTAGTAATGTCTTCACTTTTAATCATCCAAATCACAATGTTATCACAAATGTAGTGATGAGGTGGACATAATTAATGTATACAAGAGAAGAATGTGATTCATCCACATTCTATTTCACATTCTAGTCAACCAATAAAGAGAGGAGAGAGAAATACTATTATCATTTTCAAAATATCTAATTATTTAATTGTTGTTGTAAGAATTAACAACTCGAAAATAACAAACAGCAAGGTGTGTTTAAACGGAAATAAACATAAAAGTGTATATTATTGATAATTGCGCATTAGTACAGGAAGTCGGTTTTTTTGTTCTTGACCGAGATCATTTCAAGTCCATGTACAATGTGCCGAAAAAAAGAAAAGATCCTCGTACAGTTATGAATTCTGTTATTTATAGTACGGTCTGATTTTGTCATTTTGTCCAAGCTGGATAAGATCACCTTTCATGTTGAGTAGCTTTGTTTCAAACGGTGTGTAATGGCCTTGGGGAACATCAATGATTGTTGTTTGATGTGTTGGCCCAATTGGAAATATGCAACACCTCCTGCTTGGAAATTCGATCTTCTTTTGATATATATCGGATAAGTAATTTCTTTGAATATGTCGGTTAATGGCGCTTAGACTGGAGTCGGTGCTTCTGGTTAAGGATATGTCGGTAGTTCCATAGATAGCCAAGTTGTTGAGAAGTCGGTATTTTGATGAAGTCGGTATTTATCCTCCTTCTTGACCGACTTGAATATAGTTTGTTGTATTTCACAAGTTATCAGGTGAAAAGCAATGAAATAAATATAATCTCTGAGGCTAAATCATGCGAGACCAAGTTGGTCATCAACAGAGGGGCCCCGACATGAGTAGATATTCAAAATCTGATGAGATGGCTACTAATGTTGTTAAGACTGTTTCGTCATTCCAACTTGGTGATTTACCGACTTTGTTGGTACTCGGGTACCGACATTAGGACACTTTCTCTTGTAATAGCGGTATATCCTCCAAAAGACGTGGCCATTCTCAAAAGACGTGTCTGCATTTAATAGGTATAACGGATAAAATAGTAGCGTGACATGGCGGTTTGAGGCCCACTCGCATTAATGATTACTGTAACGTCACGCTGTTTCAGAATTCGTCCGTTACACGCGCTAATTCAGGATGCATCCAACGGTCATAAATCAAAACCCATATATAAGAGTCGGTTTTGATTGCAAAACGTTTCTACCTTTAGTTTCTGAAATTTCTTCTGTTTTCTGCAATCTTCATTTTCCACCTCTTTAGATTTGTCTGTTATTCTTCATCCTTTTGAAATCATTTCTTCATCTTTTCCCGATCGAACGTCTTAAAATTTGTGGTAAGAATTCTCCTCGATTCTTTATTTTATTTGTGTTCGTTGCTTTCGATTCTACGTTTAGTTCTTTGATCCGCTTCCCAAATCAATGGCCTCCCAAACGGAAGTTAGTAGTAGCCGTACACTTTCAGAGGAGAGCATTTTTTATGACGAGGACTTAGAGTTGCCCCTTGAATTTTACCGGTGGGATCCCCTCCTTGTCTCCAGCCTCAATCTAAATAAGAATATTTCTGAAGAGGATAAAAAAGTGGAGGCGAGTGCGATGACGCTACCAGAATATTGGAGACGCCCGACTCGGAGATGGCCTGAACCGATCGACGAACATAGGAGGGAACCGAGTATATTAACTGACGCAGATATTGTTATCTTGCGTGAAAAGGTTCGGGTTCCTTCCTCGGTACGGTTATTTGCACCTTACCCTGGAGAGAGAATCACATGTCCTCCACCTGGTTGCGTGGGAGTTTTTGCCGACTCCTTGAGATCAGGGCTACGATTTCCTCTGTCGACCCTGATCACCGATTATCTAAGAGATTGGGGATTAAGCTTATGTCAAATAGCACCAAATACATGGAAGAGGATAATCGGCTTAATGGTATTATTGAACGAGAGAGAATGGGATATGCCGACGGCGGAGGACATGAGGAGCTTGTTCACCTTCAGGAGGTGTGCCGATAGGCAGGTGGCTGATCCTCTGATTTGTTTCGCGTGTGCTGGGAAGCCGCAAGGTGGTTTAAAAGTCGGTGATTTAATTACCGAGATTCCCGAATCCCTTGATGGCTTTCAGGAAGAATGGTTGTGGGTCGGTGGAGAATGGCAAACTCCAATTTTTTCAAAACCTTTAATCGATGGGATGTCTATACCCATTGAAGTTACTTCTGCATATAGTAAGTGCTTCGATATTAATTTATACCGAGCTGTTCTAACTGTTGCTTTTTCTGTACTAACAGGTCCGCCCTTTTGTTTGCAGCCCGAAGGTCCAAAGAACCGACTCTCAGTGCAGAGTTAAAGGGCAGGATAATAGAGCTATTCAAGCTAAAAAAGGAACAACGTAACTTCAAGTTGGTGTTGAAGAACCCACGATTAGAAGCAGCGAGGCTTTGTCCCAACGAGTTGGACTTATCCTTTCAACCAGGTATGTTTAGGTTGAAAGCACTTCTTATATTTCGGAAGATTGGGAAATTACATACATTTTAACTCGGTTTATAATGCAGTGTATTATCCACTTCTTGGGGTGCTCGGTTTTGACAATATCCGAGACGCCAAGTAATTTCGCCACAGGAATCCTAATCTCGAGCTTCGGACCAAAGTCGGTAAAAGCAGACAACAACGCTTGACAGACATGGGTCGCAAGAAACTCGTGAAGGCCTATTTGGATAACCCCATCATGAACCCGAAAGGTGCTAACGTCGGTGATGGTGCGACGTCAGGTGCGGCTAATGAAGTGATGCAACCAGACCCGTTGATAGTGACTTCTTCCAGTCCGATTGCAGTTGTTGCCGCAGCAGTTTCGGGTACAGCAAGGACCGAACCATTTCAAAAAACCTCTAATCTAGATATATCGCCCATCATTGACATCACAGCAGATGAGCTTGAGGGTGAGCAGGAAACGATTGAGGATCAGTCACTGGTGGTGACCCGAAGAAGCAAGAGATGTGCCGAGAATGTGCCGTTGGAAGAAGAGCGTACCAAGCAGAGGTACGATGTCCATCAGCAAGAAAAGAAGAATAGGAGGAAGGAACCGATAGTGGATTGTTCCTTTTTACCCATTGACGATGAAAGAGCTCTAAATTTCCAGCAACCTCGGGAATCGGTCGAGAAATGGTTCTCGACTTTTGAGTCGGTTGAAGTCCCTGATATTCCGAGTAAAGTGGAGTTGCCGAGTCATGTTATTGATGCCAGTCGGGTGCCCATGATGGTTTGGGACCCGAGGTCTGAGATTGGGGTGTCATCCCTTCCGAGTGCTTATAAATTCAAGTATGCTAAGGCTTGCCTGGGTCGCGCACTCGTTAGCTTGGTGATGGCAGAAGATGATTTTCGACTCAATGCTGCTCAAGTAGATGAGAAGAAACATACCCTGGCCCTTAAGGATGGAGCAATTGCATCCTTAAGGGAAGAGGCAGCAAAGAAAGAAGTTGCTTTGAAGGAAAAACTCGCTGAGCAAGATCAACAGTTGGTGATAGCTCAAGGAGAAATCGAGACCTTGAAGACCGAGAAAGCAGGTCTTGATTCTGATGTGGTGAAATTGACAAGTCAGATTATCACCTCCGAACAACGTGTCAAAAGTCTCGAGGAACAACTTGCCCGATGTCAACTGCTGTTGAAGAAAGAGCAAGAGGCCCATGAATTCACTCGGGCAAATCGTTCTGAAGTTGAAGAATTGCTGCTGAAGAGTCGAGAAGCTCATCGTGCCGACTTGAGCAGATTCCAAGAGGAAAAAATTAAATTTGTTGAAGAAAAATATAATGACGGCCTCCATGCTGGAAGGATCCTTGAGGCCGAAGCTCATAGACAGAAGATTGCAACTGAAATCGATTCTGATGATGAGGATCGAGAGCTTGAGATGAACACCTGCATAAACCTGTTAGAGTAGGGTACCCGGCGTTCCAATCTAATTGGACGTATTCTACTTGTAAATACAATCTATTGGAATTATATTATTAATAAGGCATTTCTTTATCTTAAGAGAAAGCATTTATCTTATAATTGCACTTAAGATAAAATCCCTAGATCACTTATGGTTATAAGGTATGGTTACGCATAGAGATGGTGATCATGGAACATACCTTGAAAGCCGTGATCTTAAATACAGTTCCAAGTCGATGGATGTTTCGAGATGGGATATCGAATAATCCATAAAAGACTTGCACATAGTTTGTATGCTTGTTGGACAAGAATGTTGCATTCCATCAACATTAGCGTAAGACGTAAGTACATTTATGT